TTTCTTCTTCTTCTACTTCTTCTTCTTCTTCTTCTTCTTCGCTTCTTCTTCTTCTTCTTCGCTTCTTCTTCTTCTTCTACTTCGCTTCTTCTTCTTCTTCTTCTTCTTCTTCTTCTTCTTCTTTACCCCCGTTTCGAGCCCCCTTTCCCGCCGTCCTCCACCAGCCTTCTTCTTCTTCTTCTCTGCCTTCGCTGGTCCAACTTCCTCTTCTTCTTCTTCTTCTTCTTCTCCTCCTCCTCCTCCTCCTCCTCCTTCGCTTCTTCTTCTTCTTCTTCTTCTTCTTSTTCCCCTTCGCCAGTTCTTCTTCTTCTTCTTCTTCTCGATCCCCTTTGCTAGTTCTTCTTCTTCTTCTTCTCGCCCCCAACCCCTGCCCCCTATCCCTCACACCATTTCCTTCTTTTTCTTCTTTTTTTTTCCGTTGTCTTGTGCCACGTGGGGCCGCATTTTGGACCTTCCCCTGCGGCGACCATTTCCCCCAACTTCGTCTCGCCCAATCTTTCTTCCCGTCATACTCCACCCTTCTTCTTCTTCTTCTTCTTCTTCTTCTTGACATACCAACACTGACATCGCCCAGACCCCCCCAGACCCCCCCCGACCCCCCCCCGACCCCCTGTTGACCTACAACAATAAGAAGGAAGAAAATTTATTGTTGTGGATTGCAAAATTTATTGTTGTGAAAATTTATTGTTGAAGAGTTTGAAAGTCAGGTGACCTTCTCTACGTCGTGTTTGGGAGGAGTGGCCAAGGAGTGGGTACTGTCCGAAGCTAACGTTGTTGGCTTCAAGGACATTGGTGAGTGGGCAAAGACCTTGACTCTCCGAGAATTTCTCCAAAAGATTAAGGAGAGATTCTTGGATACGACAACGATCGATAAGGCCTTTGATGAACTCACCACCATAGGCCACAAGCGTTGGACGTCTGTGGATGCTTTGTCATGTGAAGTGGACCGTCTCTTGCAGGCACATGGACTAAACTTGCAGGATTACCAGGTTCTGTATATCTATTCACGTGCTTTGCCCAAGCCCATTCGCGGACAACTCGTGGCAGAAACGAAGTCTGGAAAATACAAGTACAGGCAATTTTGCGATCTTGCTCTCCAACGAGAGCAGATGACCGCTTAGGTAAAGGGCACATATGCTTCGGTAGTAAAAACTGGACCGGTTGGTGGGTGCGACAAACGGGTCCTTTGGCGACAAAAGCGCCAGGATCACATGCTTGTCGTTTTTAACGATGATACCGTAGAGAAGTTACCACTCGACGAGTCTGAGGGAGGAGGTAATGGCGGCAGCGAGTCTGGGAAGGGTGACGTCGCCGCAGTGGTGGCCAACAAGGGTGGCCCAAGTACGTGGAAGAAGAAGAGGAGACAACGCCCGTTCCCCGAGCATCCCGACATTGCGTTCGGAAAGCCCTGGGAGAAGATGGGGATAACACGAGAGGAGTGGCAGTTGAAGGTAGACAACCGCCAATGCGTCAAGTGCGGAACCGCGGGGCACGTGATAGCCTCGTGTCCCTTGATCTGAAACCTAAAAGCGAGCAGCCAGTAGGAGTAATATGTGTTCCTACTGAGTCGAAGGGTTTAGAGAAAGGTAAGGCGCCGACAATCCCTTCTAATCCCTCGACTCTTAAGGCAGAGGATGACTCTTCTTCAACCCGTCGTCCAGAGCCCCCTTACACTGTTCTTTGTTCTGTCTCACTGGAGAATTCCTTTGACGAACTCGACAATGAACTCATAGCACTTCGGAGTTTGTGGGCGCGCGTTCCCCGAGCATCCCGACATTGCGTTCGGAAAGCCCTGGGAGAAGATGGGGATAACACGTGAGGAGTGGCAGTTCAAGATAGACAACCGCCAATGCCTCAAGTGCGGAACCGTGGGGCACATGATAGCCTCGTGTCCCTTGATCCGGAACCTAAAAACGAGCAGCCAGTAGGAGTTAGCATCTGTTCCTACTGAGTCGAAAGGTTTAGACAAAGGTAAGGCGCCGATAATTTTAACCCCTCGACTCTTAAGGCAAAAGATGGTTTTTCTTCAACCTGTCGTCCAGAGCCCCCTAACACTGTTATTAGTTCTGTCTCACTGGACAATTCCCTTGACGAACTCGACAATGAACTCATAGCACTTCGGAGTTTTTGGGCTAAGAAAGCTAAGACTAAGGGTGAACTCATGATCGCGGATATCGAGATTGCACATACACGAGTAGGTGCACTGTTAGACCCAGGATCGACACGGTCTTACATCTCAGAAAAAGAAATTCGCAAATTGCATCTGGGAATGAAGGTAAGAGACTTATCTAGACCTATCACGTCTATGCCGGCTGGCAAGAGCACGATCATTGTCTCGCAATACATCGATTGTGTTAAACCACCAGTACCTCCGAGCCTGTTTTTGTCGATCCTGATTTTCACTGCGCTCTGAGTTTTGCCGAGCCTGGGTCCCGCTCCATTTCTTTATGGTACTCTCACTGGAAAAAAAAAAAAAAGGAAGAAAAGTTGCGGCCGTGAAAACTCACAAAACAAGAAAAAGAAACGAAGCTCTGGACGTGATTGCAACTCTATACAATCCCAGAAGTGTTAGTGTGAGTGTGCCCTCAGTGAGGGCATCTTAGCCCCGTGGCCAGGTTGTCAGATTCCAGAAACTCAAAAAAAAAAAAAAAAAAAAAAACAGGACCAGGGATTTGGCCGTGAAAATGGCAAGATACATTCCCGTAAGTGCCAGTGTTATCAGGGTTACACTCCTCTGAGGGAACACAGCTCGAGCAGATCATGGAGTCAGATTGTCAGATTCCAGAAAAAGAAAACAAGAAAAAAAAAACGGAAACACGGATTTGGCCTTGAAAACGGCTGGATGCATGACCCTGACAATCATCTGAGAAAACACAGCTAGAGCAGATCACGGAT